ACCTGCCCCACGCGGACTCGCGGTCGCGGTCGCGGTCGTGCTGTGCGTCTTTGCGGGCCCTGCGGGGGGCGGGGGGCGGCGAGGAGTGCTGGGAGCGCGACGGGGTGCTCCGCGAGTGGGATGGCGCGGACGGGAGGGTGTCGCTGGAGGACGACGATGGCTCGTGGGTGTCCATCTTCGGGAAGGGGAAGTCTGTGCTGGCTCGGCGGTGGTCGTGGTGGTGAAGGTGGCAGGCGGTTAGGCGGTGAGCGGGCAAGGACGAGGACGTGACGACACTCACCGACCCGTCTCGTCCAAGATGGCAGGCATACGCCAGGGCGCCGACGGTGTTACGTGGGAGAACACTCAGATCCGGGGTGCGGGGAGCGAAGGCCAGCACGTACAAGCTGTCGCATGCTCGCCCGCGTCGTTCATGTAGCAGAGAGGGTGTGGGACCAGTGCAGAGCCGCTCCCGCGATCATATGCGCTGCAAGGCGTTGCAAAGGCGTGTCTTCGAGCCGCCTTATCCCGCGCGTGCCCCACACGTGTTGATGGATCACCGGCGATGGTATGTGCGTATGGCGAGCCTATCATTCATAATCTGGACGGACGAGAAGTGAGTTGGCGGACAGTTGGCCGCCGGGCGAGAGGACCTGTGATCGAGGCACCCCACGCGTCTTACGTCCACCGCGCCTCTCGAGTCCACATCCACAGGCGCCGCGCGTGATCGCAGGCCATCCCAGGGCGCCTTCGCAAGGCCCGCCGTTGTATTGCGGATATGCACGGCGTTCACCGAGGTTGAGACCGCGTCCACGCCCTCTCTAGAGCGGCGATGACGATGCTTCGTTCATTTCCCCCATTTCATCTACGGCGTATAGAAGCACGCATAGCGGCCAGCGTCATTGTCACACACGAGGCACGATGCACTCACCCCGAGTCAGTATTGGAAAATCCACGGAAACGCTCCGGGGATGCGAACAGCTGCTGCCACTGTCAGGAAATCGCCGGAGCCATGGACAAGAGAGCCGCAGAAACCAGACTTGCACTCAAAACGAGACATCGACGACGAGCAGCACGAGGAACCGCCGCAGCTACGCTGGAAACCTGTCGCGGTGCGACAGGCCACGCTCAGGATGTGTTCACGCGATAGGAGAGCTGAGCAGAACGCGTGTTTGTTTCTCGGTACGTATATCGTCACCGCTATGACCGTAGCCTTGAGAGTCGCAGTCACGTCGGAAGAAGGGGGATCTGGCGTTTTCACTTGAGCTGTTACACAGGCGCCCGTACGATCAATTCAAGAACAACCGATGTGAGTGAGTATTTCTACATTAGGAAGCTGCTATGCCTTACTGAGCAGTTGGCAGAACCCCTGCCTCTGGTTTGCAACGACTGGTACCCATCGGCTTGGACAAACAAACGTTTGCGCGCTCTGTGCCCCAGCTCACCGAATTCAAGTCAGGGCTGGAAGGACGCATACTGTGCCTCCCTAGGTAGTCGGCAGTCACGTAAATGCTATTTCGAGGTCCGCTTGGCCAACGCTAAAGGACTCTACGAACAGGTTCTAGCTCGAAGCATACAATGACGCTGACGTCATTGGACAATCAGACTCCGACACAAGCTGTTACAACCGAGGCGTACACCAGCGTGACAATGACTTGAACAGGTCATCAGGAAGGGACTGGGCAGCCGCAGGCGTTGCAGCTGCGCTCGGCGTCGCCGGCCACAGTGACGGCATCAATGCAGAACTACTGCACCGTTCGGTCTCGTTCAAGCTCGAAATGAAAGCAGGCATACGAAAACCTATGTAAACCTATGTCTATACAGAAGCACGAAGGTAATCGAGTACTGTGGAGGTAGATATTGTGAAATCGCCGAGTTTGGGGGTCCGCCGACTACCCGGTAATAGGGCTTTGACATCTTGCGTTACTCTCATGTTTGTTTGTTCCCGTCCGAGGGCGCGGAGCCCATTGCTAAGAGCTACTGGAGGCTCGTTTACACTGTACGCTGTATGGAGTATAAACCCGTCGATATAAAATAAAAAAGACTACCCGGTAATAGCAGCGCGGGAACTCCCGCAAACGCCGTCAACAACGAGCATCAATCCGCGGAAGTGGCGCAGAGGTCCCGCGGCCCTTGTATTTGTCCGAGGGGTGAGGAGTGCAGACGGCCCTCTCCTTGTCAAAACTAGGGGAAGGAGAAGAAAAAAGCGGAAAATTTGGAGACAGCAGCGGGATGACCCCGATGAATGGAAAGCCCGAATGGTGCACAGCACGCGTCACTTCAAGTTCGCTCCTCCTGGTTCAGGCTCTTTCTCACAGCGCGCGGGCGCGATCCTTGACATGACGAATTCGGTGCCAGCTGGGCGCAAACATCGCGCGTTCTGTGGGAGGTGCTCTGCAGTGTATGATGCGGTGCACAATGGCATCGAAGCGCATACGATCGCGGGACGGAAGCAAACCAGCGGCCGGCGTTCGATCAGAAGCCCAAGGGAGTCGCGCGGGGCAATGAATCGGACGTGGACGACGCTCGCTCGGCAGCTGCCATCCCCGGGCACTCGCCTGCCACCTGCACCGGCGCGAGCGTCGCTGCCACTGCTACTACTGCGTGCGCTGCTGCTGCTACTGCGTGCGCTGCTGCTACTACTGGTCGCGCCATGCCAAACA